TGTCAAATTTAACTTAAAATAAACAGAACGTTTTCTAACTGCTTGTCAAATCAAATGCACTTTTTACTGCATATTTTCAACTATTTCCAAGCTATTAACTACTCGACTCCTCTGTTAAATACTAGTCTATAAATTACCAGGCATTTCCTCTGGCTACTCCAAACATATTCGATTGCTCGAAAACTCTATCAAAGTACTTTACATGATTTGCCATAAATTAACATTTGGAAACTGAAATCTAACGCAAGAGTCAAGTGCAGCGTCCTCCCCTTATAAAGAGATACCATATAGACACACACACACACATATATGTATATATGTGTATGTAATTACACCCTCAACGAAATTAACGAACGTGCGGAAAAGAAAGCTTCCAAAATGATCAACGCAGGGCCCCAACAATATATTGTTGTCTACGCCCCCCCGATTTATGGCTGAGTTTCGAAAAGTAAATAGAATTAGAAAAACCCGAAAAGAACAAAGAGCAGAGAGCAACGCGCCAACGAGAAATGGCCCCGCACATGTCCACGAACTTATCTAATACTATGGATACCGTTACTTGAGGTCACTGGCCCACACAGGGAACTGCACTTGTGTACAACAAACAGACGATGACAGCGACACGCACAAACACACACATACAAGCACAGGCACGCACTCTCTCGCTCACGCACTCTCTCGCACACGCACTCTCTCGCTCACGCACAAGCAACAACAATGCTCAGCCGGCGGTTATGTCACGCACATTAAATCCAATTGGTGGGAAATTTAAGCTGAGCGTTTTATCACATTTGAGTGCGAGTCGTTTGAGTGTAATTTATGCAGCCCAATTTGTTGGGCATTTTGTTGTCACTTTGCGTACTTTATTTTGGGGGGAGGAAATTTGAAATGCTTTGAGCGCGTTTATGCGGGTAATTTGTTGCTGCCGTTGAGTTTTTTTTTGAGTAATATTATGAGATTGAAAAAAAAAAACAGAAAGTCTTGCTACAATTTTATGCCAGACCTCAGAGAGAGCTTAAAATATTAGGAAAAAATTTAAGAGGACAAATAAGGAATGAATTACTTTTTATATACAAATAAAGTCCCATATTAATTTAATCTAATTAGGAATTTAACAAAAACGTAATTTTCTAAAATTCCCTTGTTGACTCAAAAGTGAGTTCTATAAATAAAATAAATGAATCGCTTTCCAAGTAGACTTCTGTGAATGTTTCTTAAAATAACTGCATAAAATGAATATTTTTTTAAGTATTGCCCATGAAGCTATTCTAACAATTCGACCATAACAACATTTTATTTGCGTTTTAGCGCTCAACAATTACCCTGCTCAAACGGCCAAACTAATCCGAACTTGCGCATAAAAAACACACTCAAACGGGATTAAATAAAAATTTCCCTTTGAACAGCTGTTTGAAATGCGCAAACTCCAAGCGACTACGCAATGCAATTGAAATTGATTTTGTTGTTTTGCGGCGCGACGGAGACCGGAGCCCGTGCCACCACCAAAACATAATGGACACCAGGGAAATTTGGGAAAAACAATAATTCTTCTATGACCCATTTACGGGGCGCAGAGTTCAAAGACCTTTGCGGGCGAGCTTCCAGAATGCGGCGAGTCCGAACCCCAAAAAACATGGGGGCTTATGCCTTTTACTTTCTGTATCTAATATAATATATATATACATATATATATGTATGTGTATATATTGTTTTTACAGCAACTGCAACTGTTTTCTGGTTGTGTGGGTGGCTGGCCGGGCGGGCGCTCATGATGTCACTTATAGGCTTGTTTGCCTGTGGATAGCCCAGGGTGGAAATGCATAATCAGCTCGCGCTGTCTTCCATTTAATGCGTGTCCCAAGCTGTGCATTGGTAAGCTATCATATCATGGTGGTTGCTAGCTGACAGGCGGACGGACTCCCCCCACCCCCCTTATCAAGCTCTCCACCACCCTCCTCCACAGTCAAAAACAAAGTACTTGTCCAATTTGATTTCTGTTACATGGCTTAGCTTGACCCATATTCAAGCGGACTCTGTTCATTTGATGAATTATAATTTTGTGTCTCATTTGATTTGATGGGATGATTTTGATAGTACAACATACAATTTGGACTGTCTCTATAGGGCAGGACAACAAGCTAGTTTAATATTTATTCAGAAAAATATATTTGAATTTCCTAATTAAAATGCAAGACCAACTATTCAGCTAATATCTAATATCTACGTTTATGTTAAGCCAGTATACATATTAATTACTAAAATAGTTTACTTTTTACTATTGAAAGCTTTTCGAACTGTTCGGAAAAAACATAATCCTAAGAGACTATAATTATTAGCCAATTAAAAATGTAAGAAATATATTATTAATTGTTTTTATATTCAAATAAACAAGAGAAAGTAAGAATGAATGCCGAAGTTTTAATACCCTTATGAATATTTCTCAGACGTGTGAAAAGAGCGAAGCTGGTAAATAACTTGGAATACAGAATATTTATATATATATAATAATATATATAATATATAATATAGCAGTGCGATTTGGCTAACATATAAGCAGCATAGTTTAACTAGTTCAAGAACAAGATATCTTGATACACAAAAGAGATTTTTATACAAGAACCTACTTTTTGATCAATCGTTCCTATGGCAGCTATATGATATAGCTATATAGGAGCTATAGCAGCTATATAGGAGCATAGTGAAGCATAACAATGTGAAGTTTGGCTGAGATTTATGGATAAACACCAAATTGTTCTCACAAGTTTCTCTCTTTCTCTGCCGATTGTTCCTATGGTCGCTATATAATATACTAGCCCGATCCAGCCAGGCTCGACATACATATGTTCTGCCTGCAACAGAAAGACTTTATGGATATTTTATAGATTTCGGATATGTCTTTTTCTATGCGTCTCAAAACAAGATACTCCCACGGGCTAATATGGTTCGAGAACTCTAGAATTTGAATAGGCTTTAATAGGCTTAATAGGCAGCTCTTCAAGGGAAGCCACAAATCAAGCTGTTCGAAAAACAGGAAAACGAAGACGTCAAACTCGAATGCAGCAGCAGAAAGCGATCAAAAATTCAACGTAAAATAAGCTTCATTCAAAAATTCTTGGGTATATATATATATTTATATAGATATATTTTTATGTATATGTACGTGCGCTGCTCCGAAAAGCCAAAAGAAAACAAACGCCGCGAATCTGGCCAAATAAAAAGGGAAAGTTCAAGAACCCCATGAAAGCGTCAGCGCGCAGATACATCGACACCCGAGGCGGGAGGGGCGGAGGTGGGGGAGTGGGAGGGGTTGTTGCCGGGCGCGGGCCAAGGGGTAGCACTGCCTGTCTCACTGTTGAATGGCGAGCGCGACCTCCCCTCTACGCAATGGACTAACAAATTTCCCCGCACACTCACCAAAAACAAAAGTGAGTCTTGTGCTTAACAGCCCCCTCATTTCCCTGCACCCACAAATCTCCCCGCTAGAAAAGTTCTGGTTTTCCTTTTCATTTTTCTTTTCTTTTTTTTTTTTTGGCGCAGCACAAGAAAAGCATTGGCTGCGCCGAAGTTCATTGAACTTGTTTGGAAATTCGGAAGCAAAATTCATTTGTTGAAGTTCTCGCAAGTGGAGCCCAATGTCTACCCCACATTAGCAGAGATATGCTGGCCGCTTGGTGGTTGAAATGTTTCCACACACACACACACGCGCGCACACACACACGCACATTTTGTTGTCAAATTGGATAATTTACGTATGCAACGAGTTTTCCCGTTTTCCTGTGAGGCATTAAGGATAAGGCTCTTGGGTTTTTCTTGTACACAAAATATTTACCAGCAAATTTTGACCTGCTTTTGTTCTCATTTTATTAGCTTTTCACACATTTTCCGATTGGGCAGCATGTATTTGCACAGCTAACAACATTGTGCATAGTTTTACTCACAAAGCTGGTTATAGGGTATCTGCTAGTCGGTCAGCATCGACATGAGCACTCTCGAAACAATTTTGAACTGTACTTGAAATCAACTAGACTTCAATTAAACAAGATTTTTTAAGTATCAATCCAATTGAATGTAAACTAAGAATTTCCCTCATTTTTCACGCATGTCGGCGGAATATCGAAATAGGTGAAACGAAATTTTAAACGAATTTCCACATCGTTTTTTTTTTTGTTTTAATTTAAAGCCCTATGAAAAATTAAAAAAAAACCGTTTTCCACCTAATTTTCACCCTTGTCAGTGGAATAACCCCAAACGTTATAAAATTTTGTCAAGAATTCAGCTGAATAAACAGATATACAACAAATGTAAAATAAGATGGAAATTTGTGTGTTAGCTACTTACAGACATTTCCAATTTTCCATTTTACATAATACTTTATTTGAATTCCATAAATTTCCTGACTGTTGAAATAACCAAAATTTGTTTATGATTGATGCTGACAAATGCTTGTGTGCAAAAATATCAAAAATTATCCGTTTTGTTGATTTTGATGAAAAAAACTGTTGCATATTTTGTGGCATATTGTGAATGAATCGATATGGGGCACAAATTTTGGTCATGCCTTATCATCTATTGACTCGGCGTCTAAGAGAATTAAGTTTTTGTGAGTACATTTTAACTTGAAAGTTGTTCGAACTTACTTATTTTGAGTTGAAAAATTGGTTTTTCTTATTTTCTTGTGTCATCCAATATTTAAATTTTGATAGATTTTGTTATTTTAATCCAATTTGTAAGCGCTTGTATATTGTCCGATTTCAGGTCGAAAATTTCATAATTTGTTAAGTTCGCAAAGTAACAAATATTCTAACTAGACTTTAATATAGCTGCCTAAGCACACACACACACACACACAGTCCACTATTCATAGTATATATATTACATTAAAATATATTAAAAGTAATTGTTGTTTACAAACGATAATCGGATTAGCATAAGACGCGAACAATTTAATTAGTTGCCAGTTTTTGTTTTCTTTTCTCATTTGTTTTTTATTTAATTACAACTTTCTGGTCGTTTTCTTTGTAGCTTAATAAAAAATATATATTGGATGTTATATGTATAAATATTTATAATCAGCGTCAATTGTTTCATAATCTTCTCTCTGTTCAATTTTGCATTGAAGCAAGCAACAACAAATTTTAACTAATTGTCTGCATTAACGTTAATAATACGAACGTTGAAATTTCCAACAATTTTCAAATATCAAAAATAGTGTAGATCGATTGTTTTCTTGTCGGAATTGTTGTAAAAGAAAAGTGACCAATAAAAATGTCTACTGTAAACCAATCAATTTTATGTTCCAACGAGTGCGTCACACAATTTTGTTAACAATTCAAAATGTGAGCCTTAACACTGATGTGAGTCTCTGTGTATGTGTGTGGGTGTGTATATGCCTGTGTGTGTGCCTGAGTGTGCGTGTGCGTGTGCGTGTGTGTGTGTGTGTGTGTGTGTGTATGTGTGTGCAGTAGTGTGTTTGTATTTAAAATAGAGTTAGTTAGCTTATGATTTTGCTGGTTGCTTGTCAATTTGATTGTGGTTCTTAGATTTGATGCTGCCGTCCGGGCTCTACTGCGCCGGCGCCGGCTGTGGCTGCGGTGCCAGGCGATTCACGAATCCAATGCCGCCGCGTATGATCTTGCCAACGACTGGCGGCGACCGAGCGGCCAGCGTCTCAAATGTGATGCGCAGCTCGGCGAATGCGGTGCGCGGATAGGGATTGCGACGCGAGCTATAGCGCATGACCAGGTAGTGGTAGTAGATAATGGGCGTCATCAAACCAGCATGGGCCCTGTTCAAAAGGAATATCCAAAGATTAGCAATAATATATAAATATGTATATATGTATGTTGGCTGGCCGGCACACCATTTTCCGAAAGCTTTTCTTTTCTTTAACCAACCTATCATATATAAAGACCCTTGAATGAGTTTAAAAAGGTTCGTTCCATTTTTTACGTCTGAACTGTATTTATCCAAAATTCCTTTCCAAATGAGTTTGCCTTACTTGAAGGTTTTGTGAATCGCATAGAAGGGCTTTGTTAAACAAAAATAAGTTTAAAAAGATAGCGAACGTGAGTGCAAGTAGAACTTGGACAATAATTAGAGAGAACCAGTTACCATATTACTTAAAGGTTTTGCGAATCGCATAGAACGGCTTTTGGGCTATTAGGAGATAGCGTAAGGAAAATAAGACCAGAAAAAGAGTTGGAAAGCGTCATATTATATTAGCTTTACTTGAAGATTTTGTGAATCGCATCGAAGGGCGTTAAACAAAAATCGGCTGGTAAGCAACATTTTCATAAAATGTCCAAAAACCTCGTTTTACTTCACATATGGTAAGTACAGCTTTTAGCTCTTACGGCTTAGCATGTGTGATATATGATATACATATATACATATATATATTGATCGCACCGTTTCAAATCCTGGTTTGCAGCCATATTCATATATACATAAATAGTTTATAGTACTCACATAAAGGTCAACACAATGGCGTAAGGCATAATGAAAATCTCGCAGAAGGCGATGGCCTTCAGTATATTGGCCGCCTTATACTCCACAATTGAGATGACAAAACGTGCGGTCCACCAAGAATTTTGACCAATAAGCTAAAAAGGGAGAACAAGTTATATTATCAGGCTGATCCAAGTGGCTCACTTAACATTTTACTTACATCCAACAACTTGAGCGAATAGCTGGACGCATGCAGCACCGAGTAGAGTGCAACGGGTATGAGCACCAGCAATGTGGGACGAATGCTAAAGAAGATCAGCGAGTACATCATATAATGACACGAGTCTTCGGCAAACAAACGTGACAGAAATTCGCGGCTGAACGAGAATGCAGGCACACGCTGATGCAAACGCAGCGCCGAGATGGCCGCATTCGCAAGCAACACTTTGTTGAAAGCGCTCTGCTGTGAGCTAAAAAGACATTAAATGGAGTTGAGGATTAGTCAGTTAGTTGTTGTAGTTGTTTAAGTTTGAAACATATAAAGAGTTAAGGAATCTTGACCAAGCCTACAAATAGATGTCGGCCTGCCTGTCTTTATGAACGCGATCATATGAAAGGTTATTAGAATTAGCATACACAGATTATCCCTATTTAATTATTTTATAATGCCCTTCTATTCGATTCGCAAAACCTTTGAGTAAGGCAATTATTTAAACTGGTTTTTACTTAGTCTTGTCCTAGTCTTACTTTCCCTCTGGTTCCTTTCCCTATTAACCGTATTTATGTTTAACAACGCCTTTCTATGCGATTCACAAGAGCTTCAAGGCTTTTATATTGAATTGACACTATATTACCCTTGATACCATCTTACTTTCGCCTACTTTCGCTCTCTTTCTCTCTCTGTGATCTTCCTCTCTCACTATAACTTGTTTCTAACCGCTAGCTTTGAACTCTTTCCAACTAGTATGCAAATGTTGACTGTATTAGCTGGATTTCCCTCGTTTACTCTCACATACACACTCACCCTCGCTCTTAGACTTTCCGTTCTAAATATTTCTTCAGCTTAATGTCGCCTCTCTATGCGATTTTCATGATATCAATTGAGGCAAAGTAATGTGTTTACATAAGAATTTGTGAACGTAGTTGAGTAAATACAAATGTAAAAGACCTTCCGACACAGGCTACACATGTTTCACCCATTTCTCAGTTTTGTAGGTGATCAAAAATTATACAGACTTTTTAAGTACTTACGTGAATATGGGCAATACATAGCTGACGGTAAAGAAGATAACTAGCAGACGTAACGCCCAAAGCGCCGAATCGATGCGGTTTGTTTGGAAATGCTGGAGCAGCCTTGCCGTAGCATTTTGTGTTGTCTGCTGCTGCTGCTGCTGTTCCTGCTGCTGTTGTTGTTGTTGTTGTTGCTGCTGCGGCTGGGATGTGGTGGATGAGCTTGGCTGTGCATCGCCCTGGGCGCTGTCAAAGCTCGGCTGTTGCTGTTCAGTTGTTGCACTCATGCTTGTAGTGTTCCTCTAGAGCTCTCTGCTGATATTCCGGTCTGCAAGTTGGTTATCAAAAAAGTCAAATAAATACCATTAGAAACCTTATCACACTGTGACAATGCAAACAGAGAGCTGCCTCTTATCAACACTTTGCTAATCGTTGGCCTGATAAACTTTAAATACTTGGTCTACAACTGATATTTGGTGCAGGTAATATTAATAACTAAAGAAATTTTTAATAGAGAAATATAACTAATTAAGAGAATAACGTTAAAACGTACGCTTGAAGTATTTCGCCTGGTTACAGATTCTACCCCTTTTTTTAATATTCCGCTCTCAGCTATTAAATACAATTAATATTGCCCTTTGTATAGGCCAGAACGTGCATTGTCATGATAAAATTGGTTAATATAAAGTTGCTAAAACGAGGGCAGTTCAACAGGTAACTGAGAGTTGTCCAAAAGGCAAACTGGGCCGACGAGTATGATTATTGCTTTTCACATTTCACAAAATATACTCTGATATAGATATGACTTTAAACTAAGAAACTGCTTCTTTGTGAGAATAGACTATAAATTGTTGAGAATAAGATTCAATTCCTGACTCTGATATGCATTATCAAGTTTAGGTACATTTCTTTATGTTTACCCTTGCCTAGGGCTTTACAATTTTGACAAGCAATATGTAAGACATGGCTAAACATTCTGACATCACAGACAAATATGTGTATAAAAAAGCTTTTTTTTTTTTATTCAGATATATCTTTTTTTAAATACTATTTACTTCGATTTCAAGTACCATATAACACCTACAATCAGTCAGCAAATTCGGATTAGAAATCTTATATCTGTTATACGTGTATAACAATCTTCGGTAGACCCAAAAGATAACTGTTCTCGCTGCACTCGTCAGCTTTGGTAGGTTTTTTTTTTTTTTTTAAGAAACGCGATTTTAATTGTAATTTACATAGACATAAGTATTGTGTGTCGTAAAAACAAAACAAAAACCAGTTGAATGGAAAGTTGCACACACACTGACACACATAAGCACATATACACACACACACACACACACACACACAAGCGCACACACAGAGCTACGCTTAATGTCGAAGGCGTGTACAGCGTTGCCAAAGAGGCGTTAATGTTCGGGTCTGGCAACTATGTATAAAGTAGCGGCAGATATTTTGACTGCAATTATGGCCAAGTTTTGTAAGAGTCACAACAACAACAAAAAAGCACACAAAAATAAAATGTCAATTGAAAAAGCAAACGTAACTTGACTAGTTTAATAACCACACATAAATATAAACCAATTCAAATTTAAAGAAGCCTTAAAAAACGACTTCAACTTTCTGAAGAAATTGTTTAAGAGTTTAATTGTATTTATTATGGCTTTTAAAAGCCGTACAGAAAGTTTTTATTGAAATCAAAAATGAGCTTAACGAGGCACAACAATTAAATGAGTTTCTAACTAAATTCACAATAATGTTTAAGATTACTTCAATTGTGCAGCCGTAAGTTACGGGTTTCCAGCTTAGCTTCAGCGATTAACAAAACAGACTGATGAGAGCCAAACCACTGACAAAGTAACCACAATGTGCATGTCGTTACGACATACACGTCAAAATAACAACAAACACACACACACTCACACACATACAGGCTATTGCCCAAACAGGTGGCAGGCACACAACGTACAGAGAGGGGGCGTCAGAGCTGAGCGAGAGAGAGAGAGAATGAGAGTGCAAAGAAAAGTGCGACGGCGTAACGTGGGCAGAAAACGAGCTTGAAAACTGGCGGAAAAATTTTGCAATTATTGACTATTTTTAAGAGCAATTGGATTTAATATACAAAACATATGAAAGAAGTAATATATTTATTAACAACAGCAAATTTTTTTTATCGTTCGCTTGCTATTTTTTAACCATGCATTTGAACATAATTAAAGAGAACTACGAAATGTAATTACAATTTCAAAAGTCTGGCAACATTAGCTAAACTCATTTTAGCTGTTTTTTTTTCATCAACTTTAGCAGCTTTTTTGTCAGTCAAATAGTGAGGCAACACTGATGATAATGCACAGGTGAATCGAAACGTTATTGACAGCTGCTGGTGGTCATTAGGGGCAATCATACCGTATGCATATTGTTGGGCCGAGAACCAATATTGATTTTGGTAAATGATGTCCTTTCGATACCAAACTAGGTCGAGTTCAGCGCTAGATAATTAATTGTTCATTTGTTATGCGCATTTTAGAATAAGGTCGACTAATAACTGAAATTTAATAACCAAAGTATTTGGGCAACATTGGTGGTTAAATCAAGCTGAACATGATGAAATCTATGTAATAATGCGTAAACAAATGACGTCACGTCTGGGCCCACGAGGAACACGTCAGTGTCAGCCGCCGTACACACACAGATTTGGCGAACAAGGTGCGCGCTCTTATTGTGCGACATTTGATTGCGCTGATTGGCATTGTTGAACTCTTTAGACCCCACGTATGAAATGAACATGACTGAGCAAAATCAAAGCTTATACCAAAGTGCACTTTAATTACATTTATAGCTTCGCTGGCCACTGAAAAAACGCACAAAATCGGCACTTAAATTGGCTACTTCCGACTTTTTTATTTTATTTTATTTTATTTTTTTTTGGGCAACACGTAGCAACTGCCGGCAAAGCAAATGTGCAGCAGCATTAATGGCAGCGACCTGCATATGCCTAGCCTGCTTGTACACATAAATAAATATTCACTTATGTACACCAGCGTGTGGATATCATGGGTAAATTGGGTTATTAACCATTGCAGCCGCCTTTTTTTTTTCTTCTTTTGATTTGGAGCCCCTTTCTCACTAACACTAATGCACAGGAGCTGCCGCGAACGCTGCAGTTGTGAAACAACTTGCGAATGTTTTAAAGCTAACACTTTTTAATGTACGTAAACGTAGTTTGAAATTGAAGCAAACTTACCCGCTTAAATGCAACTAACGCACAGCGTTGTTTAACTGTATGAAATTAAATTAAATAAAATAAATGTGTCGACACGAACTTGCGATTGAATGACTATCGATAAATACTAATGCTATACAGTGAAGTGTATCGATTACTAACCAGTGTATACCATGTTTTCAACTACCAAATGGTAGTGCTATGCCAGTGTGTACATACCTTTCAATTTGCATTGCAATACAGCAACAGGCCAACCGCGTTACTTTATATTAATGGATTCAGGATTAATAAAATCATAGCCATGGACAACGATGACATAACATTACCAGCGGACACCTTAGCTATATTGAATGAATTCTTAGCGGAACGCTCAAAGCGTGAACATGACGAAGAGCAGCGTATGTTAAACAAAACGGGCAAAGATGCACATTTCGAAGAGGATTGGGTAAACGATTAATCCGGAAATCGGTATTTTATTGCTAATTAGTGAATTGTTTCAGCAACTTAGTCAATTTTGGTACAGCGATCGTACGAAACGTGCAATAGGCACTGCAGTAGCCAAACTTGTAAAGGAACATAACAGCTCAGACTTTCGCATTGCTTTATTATCATGTCCATCGCTGTATGCAACTATCAAGGATGTGCATGACCAGGGTATGCAATGGCAGAGTGTAGAGAATTTCCTGACTGTCTAACCATTCCACTTTCAGTCAACATATTTGAGTACGATCAGCGATTCGCTGCCTATGGCACTGACTTTGTGCACTATGATTTCAATGCCGTGGACAGCTGCTCGGACTACCTACTTGGGCACCATAAATGCTATGATCTGATAATTGCCGATCCACCATTTCTCTCCGAGGAGTGCATGAGCAAGATGTCAAAGATAATAATTAATTTACAGCGCAGCAGCGCATCCAAGCTGGTATTTTGTTCTGGCGAAGTGGTTGAACCGTGGTTAGTCGCCAGTTTGCCGCTGCACAAATGCAATTTTCGGCCGGAGCATGAACGTAATTTGGGCAATGAGTTTGTTTGTTTTGCCAACTTTAATTTCGACCATTATATTGAAAATAATAAATAACACATGGTTGTCCGTATCAACGGAGACTGTTAAATGCCTTGAATGGAAATTGTGTATGCATTTTTATTTTGCCGGTGCATCCGCTTCCTTGCGCTGCTGCACTAGCTCACGCAGTCCATCCTCTTGATCCTTAAGCGACTTTTGCAGAAATTCCTTCTTCTTTTCGAGCAACTCAATGGCCTTATCACATTTGTCCTGCTTGCTCTTCAGCTCGCTACGCATGTTGTCCAAATCAGTCAACAGAAACATGCGGCCAACGGACATGTAGACCCTGAATAAATGCATCTTTATGAGTTTGCATTCACAGCTTTTACTGCCTATAACGGACAGACTTACCTTGTGTCATCTGTCAAATTGCTGGTGCTCTTCTCGGTTAGCGTATATTTCTGTTTACCCGTCTTGACCATGTCGCATTTCATGTCAATCATGTTTATCTTTTTCGTGGTTTCCAATTTATTAACTTGCATTTCAGCGAAGGCCTATTTGGGGGTTGGGTTAAAAACAGATGAGTGTTTTCCTTCTTTGGGGGCACCACGCGCTGCCTACCGGCAGTCGCTTGGTTGAGTTTGACCTGTATATTTACGTTACCTTCTTTAATTCCATATCCATTTGTGCCATTTTGTATTTGAGCTTTGGGCTGTTGCTTATAAATATATTCAAGTATTTGTTTTACGCACTAATTCTATGAAAATTTAAACACCTGCGTATACTTGAGGGTTTTGTAGATAGATAATTAGATGGTGGAGGTCGGCCGATAAAACGATTAATATTGGCGATACATAAATAGATGGTGGAGGTCGGCCGATAAAACGATGTATATTTCTGATAAATAAGTAGATAGTGGAGGTCGGCCGATAGAATTTTATATTGCAACGATATTTTTTACTGCAAAGCTGAATATTAATATATGTATATTCAAATGCATAAAATAACAATTTTATTTATTTATTAATACTGTCCGCACTTACATACCAACATATAAGCTACAAATAAATGTTGATAGACAAATATGAGAGCTTTTAAATATATTCCGGTCGATTCGTTCATAGTTACAGCTGTTTTTCGTATGGTGTTTGACTCGAGTTGTCATGTCCAGGCTAAACTAAACTGTTTGTGTATTGCAGAACCGTGTGTACTGTTTAATTAAAGTATAAAAGTTATGGCTTTGGTGTCTTTGCTGGCTCTTCATACCTGGGCAAAAGGAGCACATACGGATTTCACATCCTGATGTTGTTAATAATAGCAAAAATAACGTAAATATTGAACGCTCTAGAACATAGACCGAAAACTTCAATTGGCAACAAATGGAGAACAACAAAGTTCCATACGATAAAAAGCAACCGCTTGCTAGCGATATTGATATTGGGCTTGTCAAAATAGAGCAGGATGAGATGTCAGAGTTTAATATTATTGAAAAAATGGAATTGCACTGGGAGCAGACACAACAAAAGCAGCATCAACCCAAACCGTAAGCTGATTTTAACTGAACTCCTCAATGGGAACAAGAACTATATCAATATGTTATATTTTACAGATTTCATAGAGGCAAGTTAAATCAATGCACAACACTCTGCAAGAGGAAATTGTAAAAATTGGAAAACATCATTTCAAGATATTGCTTGTTTTGAAAGCATTGCAGGCAATAAATATGTAATTGTACTTAACTCTGATATTGCAGGACAGAGGATGGTAAATTGGCGAGAAGCAGAAGTGAATTATCTAATTGATTTGGTTAAGAGCAATGCCTATGTTTGGAACAGTTCTGTGCCCGATTTCAAGAAGAAGCATAAGAAAGCCCTGTTTTGGGAGCAGGCTGCCGACAAAATAAATAAATCCCTACGACCACGGACTCCATTCACACGAAGTACTTGGAATATATATAAGACTTGTATTTAAATAAGTTAATTTGTATTTTTCTGTTTATTACAGATGATTGTTTTAAGAAATGGAACAATTTACGTACGTATTTCCAAGCAGAAGTCAAGGCCGTCAAGATCAAAAATAACGGTGGCACTTCGGATGCTGATGACAATATTGGGGGCGGCTGGAAATATAGCTCAAAAATGAGCTTTTTGATTGGTACCCGTATGCCGCAGATATCTGTAAATACATTCAACAATAGCGAACAATCGGTAATTAAACAAATATTGATTACAATTTCTTAATTCAAATTACCCTGGCTTTCAGGTGTTTGATACGACAACCAGCTTTTCCGACTCAAATGGAGAATCAGAAATGGAATCATGCGATCGCAGCGCTTTGGTGGAAGCTTCAATCCATGAACCTCAGGATAACGATTGCAGTCAATCGAATGCAAATTTAGATGATTTGCATCAATCTTTACCGGACTCCCCTCAGGCGAAACGCAAAAAAAATAATGAGCTTACGGACACGTCGGAAAATACTTTGCTCCACTCGATGGTGAACAATGTGAATCAATTTACGGGCACCATGGCAAGCCAAATGAATAAAAGAGAGGAATCGCAGTCCTTTTACTATAGTAGCTATGTTGGTCAATGCTTGGATAAGCTTGACCCGGATCTCAACTTAGAGGCAAGGGAAAAAATAAGCGAAATCTTATTTAAATACGAGAAAGCACAATTGAAGCGATAATAGACTGAAATTCAGGTTATTTAAATATAATTGTGTTAGGGTACTTGTAAATAATTAAAAAGCATTTAATGTAAGTTAGTAATATGCTTGTAGTCAGTAACTAAGTTGAAAGTTAGGAACAAATGTGTTCAAATAGGCAACAAACTAATGATTTGTTCTTTGTGTCTAGACTATTGTAGAGATTATACAAATAATATATGTTATGAATAAAAGTTAGTAATATGCATGTAGTCATTAAATGTAAGCATATAACGAATATGTTAATTTATTTTGCGTGGGTTAACCATGAGCTAAAGTCACATTTTAGTTTCATAGAGACTATAGAAATAATAAGAATAAGTTATGAATACGTAGATGTTGAATGTAAAGTACAATAATTATAAAAGTAGCTAATTTCACCATAATTTGTTTTTACCTTACCTATTGAATGTGCGCTAAGCGCAATCTAGACCATTAAAGGGATTAGCCTAGATTGGGATAGAAAATGCCGGCACACGGAAGCCGTCCAACTGCGCCATAGACCACCATTGTGTATACATTAAAAACTCGCATTCATTTGCTTGAAAGCATGGAACGCTGGCACAACAAACTCGCTGTTGTCACGGGCGCCAGTGGAGGCATTGGGGCTGCCTGTGCCCGTGCCATGATTGGCGCTGGTTTACGTGTGGTGGGCCTAGCGCGTCGCGAGGCCAAGCTCAAGGAGCTGCGAGACAGTCTGCCCAGCAATTTGCGGCAAAACTTTATACCAAGACGCTGTGATGTGTCCAGGGAGGAGCAGGTGCAGAGCGCATTCGACTGGATTGAACGTGAACTGGAGGGTGCGGACGTACTGCTGAACAATGCGGGCATTACACGTGAAACGGAACTGGTGACGCCGGGGAATACGCATAAGCTGCGCGAAGTCATCGACACCAATATCATGGGCGTCATTTGGTGCACACGGGCAGCTTTTAATAATATGATAAAGCGCGATGTTGAGGGACATGTGCTGATAATCAACAGCATTGCGGGGCAGCAGGTGCTGAATTTCATTGATGTATTGCCATCGTTCAATATATATCCGGCCACCAAGTTTGCCATTACGGCCATAACGGAAACATATCGTCAGGAGTTTCAGCTGCACAAGAGCAAGGTGCGCGTCACAGGCATTTGCCCGGGTGCAGTCAATACCAACATATTTCCAGAGGAAATACATTTCTATGTCAAGGATATGGTACGCCTGGATCCGGCCAATATAGCCGATGCCGTGCTTTATGCATTACGCACGCCGCCGCATGTACAGGTAAATGGGTTACGTTTAGGATTAACTCAAAGACTGACTCTCTGCTTTACAGATACACGAAATAACTATAAAGCCAATGGGTGAACTATTTTAGGTTGCACTTAGAATTTGATTTATAAAATAAACGGAGCTTCAACATATAATCAACTATATGCGCTGGCTAAGTTTTCTTATGTTCTCTACCAGTGGCCTTTAGGGCGTCTAGTCGTTCGCGCAGCACCTGCTCATTAAGACTGTGCATGCAGAGGAATTGGCCATTGAGAAAGAGCACGGGTATATCATAGCGGAAGAGTCGCAGATAGCGCACATTCTCTTTGCGATCGATAAACACCTTCCGCAGTTCGAACTCGCCAGAAAAGTTTCTTTCCAGCTTATCGACCAGCTCATCACAAAGCGGGCAAGGCTCCTTGGTGTAGAGCGTCAGCTGCGGCAAGCTTTCAGCTTGACTGGGCGTTGGTATGCTAAAAAAAAGGATCACACAATCGATTAGAGATTGAATTTTGCCCAAGCAACACACAATTACATTTTCTCAAGCACCATCAGAACGCATCGCCCATCGCCCGACTCCATAATGACGCAGCCCAGGCTGCCAGCGGGTAGGGCATGAACTGTGTGCGTCAGCAAATGGCTAGCAGTGATTTGCCTAATATCATGCGTGCGCACTTCGTTGACGTCCAGAGCGGCCAACGCGCCCAGCTGATCCTTCAGCTCCTCTTTTATGACTAGCTGCCAGCTGTGCACGTCATTTAACTTAATTGGCTGATCGCCGGTTAGCCGATATATTGCCTGTTCATTGTCGTGCTCTATGAAAAATTCGCGCACCACCGCCAATGGCTGTAATTGTAGGCGCTCTGCTGTTTGAGCGGTGGTCAGGGCAACGGCTGCAGCGCCTGGACACTCTGATGAGGCTGGCTTCTCTTGCAGATTCGCTCGTGGATGTCTGAGCGGCATACCTTCCGTTAACAACTCGCTGTGCTTTACATCATTTTCCTGCTGTTTGAGGTTCGCTCGCGTGTCTCCCAATATGATCCAACCATCTTGATCTTTCTGCAGGCTTTCCAATGACATCTGCAGTCCGCATACCGAACACGCCTCATTCCGGATGGCGTGTGCCTGACAGCTTTTTAGACCCAGATGTTTGGCAACGCTGCGCAGCGAATCGTTGTTAACAATCTCGCTAGAGGTGCAGACTATTAGCTTCTTGAATTCATCCCGCGGCACTGAAGTGCGCTTCACCAGCTCATCTATGACCATGCCAGCCAACTGATCCTCTTTGGTATACTCCAACGTGCTGGGCGTACGCACGGCGGCAGCAATAACCACCGCATTCTGATTTGGCCTTAGACTGTGGTGGCGCACCAGGTGCCATATGCTAAAATATATATGAATTGTATTAATTATATAAGTGAAGATTGCACGTAAGAACGCGCTCACCTTTTTAAGCATTGCGACCGAAATATTGCTGGCATTCTCGCAAACAGTTGTTATTGTTGTTGATTTAAATTTTCGATTTCGATAACACAAAACAGCTGTCAAACCTAGAGATGAGCGCTTGCTGCTGACAGCAGTGTTGCCAATACAGCTATTTCCTAGCTACATTTCGCCTTTTTTCAGAGTCTACTGCGAGAAAAAACTAACGTTTTTAACGTGCTTAGCTGTTTTTGGCAACTTATTGGTAATGCTTAGTGCCAAGTTAAGGTCGAAAACTAATACAGCTATTTTTAGCTATTTTGAACATTGAATTCAGCTATTTTTGTGCGGCGGCAGCTGGCAACACTGCTTGACAGCTGTTTCTTACTGTGCAATAACAAAACGCAACAGTGAAAGTTATTTTCAATTTGTATAACGTTATATTGGGCAAAAACAACAATAAGAAACAAAGACAAAGCAAAAGAAAAAAAGACAGAACCCGTTTTTACATCTCTGTCGCTAAAAATATTAAACATTAACCAGCCAGCAGTTGAAGTTGTAGGAAACTAGGCTACGGCTAAATATATTATTGGTACTCAAATGGAATTGACCTTCAAAAAGGCACGTCTGGTGACTAGGGCAAACACAGCTGCGGCTGCAGATGCTGTTGGCGAAGATTACAGCGATGCGGACAACGAGCACGATGCGATCGAATTCGGCTGGTGGGCACTGCCGGAGCCAGCCCTGCTACAGATCTTTGTCTATTTAGATGTACAGGATTTAATTCGAGCAGGTCTAGTCTGCCGGCGTTGGAATTCCATTGCCAACGAAGATTTCCTCTGGCGTTTGAAGTTCCAGGAACACTTTAGAGCCTCGCCTAGCATACCGCTTAAGCCAGGCGCCAGTAGCTGGCGCGCCGAATATCAGCGTCTCAGCATGCAAATACCCTTTGTGCAGGCTCAGCGTTTGGAGCCGTGCACCGAATACAATCATGGACATACACATCAGGTGCTGCATGTGAGCTTTGCACACAACGGCGAGATGTTTGCCACCTGCTCAAAGGATGGCTATGTGATTATCTGGAACGCACAACATCCCTGTACAGGTAGGCAATTGCAGCTGCCAAAGCAATGGACTAATACTCAGTTGTACTTGTAGAAAAGTATGCGCACAACATGAAGCAGTTTAGCTGGAAGTACACCCAATACTCTCAGTTTAATCAGAGTGACACATTGCTCCTGGTTTCGGGTGTGCATTTTGGTTCACCTCAGAGTACATCTGGCGAGATAGCTGTCTTCTATCTGGGCGCTACAGAATCTCACTTGCGCTGTCGTGTCGTCAATCGGCCTTATGATATCTTTGGCACCTGGTTCAGTGATCAGTATCTGTTATCGGGGGATCTTCACTGGCTGGCGCATTTGGTTAGCACCTCGGTGCTGTGGCTGAATAAAGCCAATCAGGAGATCGACTCGGAGCATGTGCCCATCATGAGCCAACTGTATAAATTCTACAATCGTAACGCCAGCTCCGTTCGCGCCATTATGGTGGCCAGGTGTCCATGGCTGGACGAAAGCAATTATCCACTGCCACAGGCACAGCAAGATGCATGCTCTGCCACAACGAGCGGCAGTGATCAGCCTTCTACATCCGCCGCAGTGGCCAGTGGCAATCCGTTGTCGCATGCGGCCAGCTTGCGACGTACGCGCAGTGCGACGCCCGAGGATAACTATTTGCCGGACATTAGCGAGCACAGTCAGGTGCGCAGATCGCGTGCACGGCCCGGCCACACATCCGATGCCACGATACACTATCTGGAGGAGTATAGGCGAGCAGCTGCGGCAGCCACCGATGCTGGTCTTGATGATTGTTATGAGGACACTGAGGAGGAGTACGAGTCCTGCTCGGAGGTGCATGACGAATACGATGAAATGGAGAACAGTGTGCCCAAGTATCTTATATTTTCGACTGGCTCGAAGACCTTTACGCCACATCAGATTGGCTTTAAGCGCATACGCAATGTAAACTTTCCGAAAAAATTGGATCCAGGACCGACGCTGAAGGAGCGCATTGCTGCCAAGCGTTTAGCAGACCAACAGCAGCAGCAATCGCCACGCACAGATCCCGACTGGTGGGACTATGAGTCCGTGAAAGATCGTTTTGATCAGGTGGACAAGGTGATTGATCTGCATGGCCATATTATAGGCATGGCACTGAGCCCGGATCATAGGTATCTGTATGTCAATACCCGGCCATGGCCCAAGAACTATATAATAACTAATCCGCTGGAGCCGCCGCCAATTGCCCAGGAGATCGATATACATGTGATCGATTTAATGACACTCAAGCGTGTGGGCAACATGCTGCGCGCTCACAAAGCATATACGCCCAGTACAGAATGTTTCTTCATATTTCTGGATGTGTGCGAGGAGTATGTGGCCAGTGGCGCCGAGGATCAGCATGCATATCTATGGGATCGCTACTATGGCATAAGCTTGGCTAAATTCAAGCACACAGATGTGGTTAACAGCGTGGCATTCAACCCAAAAGACTCCCAGATGCTGGTCACCACCAGTGATGATTATACCATCAAGGTGCGTTGAATGAAGCCATAGACAAATTTGTTTGCTGTTATATTTTGTTTATTTAGGTTTGGCGCTCGCGAGCACAGGCCAAGGCGTACAATATTCCTGTCAATGTGAGCGAATCGTTTGAGCTGAAGCCCAAAAAATAGGCCAACTGCCTGTGTACCTGTTGCTGCCAACAATTTAGTCCATACATGCATGTATGTATATGTATAATCTATATACTGCTCATTTTGGTGTTAGCTTTTAATGAAAAGATGCAAATTGTTTCGTGTTATTTTAAATGTTACGTCCTAATCGAATTTATTTTGGGTTTGTGTTGTGGGAGACGGTTTAAAGTGAAGGTTTCACTGTCGTTTCGAAGTCTGGTGGTGGAGCGGTTGTTCCTGATTCCGATGTTCCTTGATCCGGCTCTGATTGAGCATCAGCGGACGTGGATGGCTGATCCGCACGCCGATCTATAGGGCATGAGTCACCACTGGTGGGCTTCTTCTTGTTCTTCTTGCGCTTTTCGGGATGGCCAAAACAGTGCTCGCATTCGTCATCATCTTCCGACGAGCTTTCGCCAAAGGCCACCGGTTTGCGGTATATGCAACAGCCTGAAGACATATATAAAATATGTAAATATGCTACTTCACAAAATGGTTTTAAGTTGTGTACTCACATTTCGATTTCATGCGATTCATATGCTCGTTGTCTATGACACCATCGTGGAAGACGACCCGGCGTTCCTCGTGCGGCTGTTCCAGGCGCAGCAGCAATGTAGGTGTGGACTCCGTTTTTTGTGCGCCATCTGTTTCCTCCAAAGTCTCAGTTTTTGCGCATTCAGCATTATTAATTCGTTGAGCTTGTGCCATTTTGCAAAATAAACAAAGCCAGGAAATGTATCAGCTGCTGGCTTATGCAGCAGAACCTTCCTGCCGCGATGGCTATCGATAACTTTTACTTAGATATCGCACAGCTGCCACTAAGGTGCAACGGTGTGGCAACGCTGCACGTATATGTCAAGTCGCAGCTGTCAGTCGTGTCGTATCAAAAATGGCTGCAATAGTGCGATTTAATTTGTTAGGAAAACCGCAATTTGGTAAATAAACAGTAGCGTTTTAGTTGTAGACTATTTTTTAAATGCCTTACAATATCATTGGACAGTTCGTGACGTTGGCAGCCATGCTATATAAAGTTGTGTTGTAAATTTCAGTTGCAAACAAATTATGTAATTTCTGCGCACATAAAAACAAATGCTGTGGCGCATATATTGCATATTCATATTGATTTATTATAATTGCAATTTTTGCAGTTGCGGCTCTGCCGGCCTCTCTGCAGCTGCGCTTGCAGAGCACGCAAGCACCTCCACCAGGCACCCCGCCTCCACAGACAAAAACCAAATTCGGACCATTAGCTGATGAGGATCGCATCTTTACCAATCTCTATGGACGTCACGATTGGCGATTGAAGGGTGCGCAGAAGCGCGGCGATTGGTACAAGACCAAGGAGATTGTACTAAAAGGCCCCGATTGGATTATCAACGAGATCAAGACCTCGGGTCTGCGTGGACGTGGTGGCGCTGGTTTCCCTAGCGGTATGAAATGGTCTTTTATGAATAAGCCTGGCGATGGACGTCCCAAGTATTTGGTGGTCAATGCTGATGAGGGTAAGTCCAGCCTCCAATCCAAAAAAAAAAATAAAATGTCCATGCTAAAAATGTAGTATTATTCTGCCACAGGCGAACCAGGCACGTGCAAGGATCGCGAGATCATGCGTCATGATCCACACAAGCTGGTAGAGGGCTGTCTAATAGCTGGGCGTGCCATGGGTGCACAGGCTGCGTATATCTACATACGCGGCGAGTTCTACAATGAGGCTTCCAACATGCAATTGGCCATTGCCGAAGCCTATCAGGCTGGCTTAATCGGCAAGAACGCTTGCGGCAGTGGCTACAACTTTGATGTATTCATGCATCGCGGCGCTGGTGCCTACATTTGCGGTGAGGAGACTGCACTGATTGAGTCCCTAGAGGGAAAACAGGGCAAGCCACGCTTGAAGCCGCCATTTCCCGCTGATGTGGGTCTCTTTGGTTGCCCAACCACGGTAACTAATGTGGAGACAGTTGCGGTGGCGCCAACAATTTGCCGTCGTGGTGGTACCTGGTTCGCCAGCTTTGGACGTACACGTAACTCTGGCACGAAGCTGTTCAATATCTCTGGACATGTGAACAACCCCTGCACAGTGGAGGAGGAGATGTCCATTCCATTGAAAGAGCTGATTGAGCGTCACTGTGGCGGCGTCGTTGGTGGCTGGGATAATCTACTGGGCGTCATACCCGGCGGCTCCTCGACACCCATCATACCAAGAAAGGTGTGCGATGATGTCATTATGGATTTCGATGGCCTGATTGCGGCGCAAACATCGCTGGGCACAGCTGCTATTATTGTGATGGACAAGTCCACGGATGTGATCAAGGCTATTGCGCGATTGATTTCGTTCTACAAGCACGAGAGCTGCGGCCAGTGCACGCCCTGCCGCGAGGGCATTGGCTGGATGAACAAGATTATGACGCGGTGAGTTTTTGCAATGTAAAACTGATTTTCTGAGCTGATGGTTGGTTGGTTTTTTTTTTTGTAGCTTTGTCAAGGGCGATGCTCAACCCGCCGAGATTGATATGCTGTGGGAGATATCCAAACAAATTGAGGGACACACGATTTGCGCGTTGGGCGACGGTGCCGCCTGGCCAGTGCAGGGACTCATTCGTCACTTTAGGCCAGAGATCGAGAAGCGAATGCAGCAGCATGCGCAGCAGACAAAGCGCGCCAGTAATTAATTAATAATGTTATAGCTAATTATATTTGATTTCATTTAACCGCGCGTCGTTTATGCAAATAAAGTGTAAAGTTCTCTAAACTAAAAATAAATGTAATAATATGTCATTTAATTTAAATTTAATCCCTGTATGTGCTTGATGACGGCTTCTATGTCCTCATTATCAGGTGTCTCATACTTGGGCGGAAAGCTGCACAGACTAAGAGGACCGCCAATTTGTGCCTCCACGCCTGGATAATTATTGCAGCGCGCCGGTATGAATTCATATCTGTATTTAATATGTATTTATATGTGTTGCATTTCCCAGCAAATTAGTACTTACTTCCTAGCTGGAATGCAGTGTGCTAGCTGCAACACCAGCACCAGACATATCATTAAATATTTTAAAAACATTTTTCTTTATTAAAACTTGTTGCTTGCTTTGGCTTCTAGGTTTGATCATCGACTGTTTTGGCTGCTGCAAATCGCGGTCTTAAAACAATTAAGGCCCATTTAAAATATGCAAATGTTATGCAACGTCTGGAATTTTTGCACATATAATTACCTATTTTATTGCCATATGAATAATTAATGCAACAACGTTTCATTGCCATCCCGTTGTCTTCCCGGTTGGCGGTTAGCAGTATCAAGTACTCACACGACTTGCAATTATCTAAATATGATTAATCGTTTATCGAAAAACGATTAAAATAGTGTTGACGGCCAAAACAACTGTTAAATGGTAGCATATTTATAGCATTTATAGATTCTTGTTATTTTTTTTTTTTTGTGAAATTTAAGTTGAGTACAAAATAATAGTCCTAAAAATAGTTTAAATTATGTAATGAGAATTAGCTAACAGAACACATTTATCTATTGCTGAGTATGTCAAAGGTTAGGTTTAATATTAAAATGTTAATGCAATGTTAACGCAACTAACAGCGTCAGTCAGTTAACAGGTAAATGCTTATTAGACAAAAGTCTGACAGTTACCCCAGTTAAATAGTTTGATAAGTGCGCTTTTCACTTAACGTTAGTTGCCCGCTCTACATTTGTATATATATATATGTATTTAAGTTTCCTTCGTTCGGCTTGCGATAGTGAATTTGTAAATTATGAAAACAATCTACACGTAATTGAACATCAACCACTAAATTTTCTGTTTTGTTTTATAATATGGAAAGTTACATCAAAGACAGAGACAATACATAGAACCAAATGGAAAGTGAAAATTAACTGTTCTACATAAGACACACACATACACATTCAGTTTTTGGAAAGTAAGAAATATATTCTATTGCGTATAAATTGAACTTTGCAGGTGTTCAATCTAAAGGTATTCAGTTGAATGAACATTAAAAATGTTAGAAAAAGTGTAGAAAGAATGCTTTTCGACACACATATATACAATTTTTTTTTTTGTTTTTCGTGTTTCTTATATGTACGTAGATTTGTTAAATATGTATTTGATTTTAGTGTAATTGTTTTTGGTTTAGTTTTAGATCATGTTTAGTTTGATTTGTTTGTTAAACTTGGCTTAAAGCGTTACTTATTGCTTATCTATGAGAAGGAACATAGTACAATATTATTATGCATTTATGTAATTTCTTTTAGTTTCAGCTTAAAGACTAAACAACATTTTAAACAAGTCACTAAATGAGTTCGTATATGTTTTTTGTTGGTTTGGATTGCAATACTTTTGGGATACTAACATTGTGTTGTAAATAAGCGTTAACAACTACCTATGTATAGTAGCTATATAAACTATGTATGTATTATGTATTTATGTATATTATGTATAATTTCGCTTGCAGTTTTTTTTTTTTTTTTTTTTTGTATTTTTGTGTATTTTTAAGTTGTGCCAACTAATTGCGAAGAGGAGCTATGGAGAAAAAACATCAAGTTTCTTAGAACGGGGTTCGAGTGTCGTCATAAGTAAATATGTTAAGGTTTTAGTTTAGTATCACACTAGTAGAGATAATGCGAAGAAGCCTGAGCTCTATACTGCTTCGGTGTTAGCTTTATCAGTTTAGGATTGAAGGCCCCCAATGCTGCCTCATTTGTCGACGAGGCTGCCGGCGGCACGGTGTGCGAGCGAAAGCGCGAACGCAGAAAATTTTGCATGGACCTCAGGCGAATGATAGGCGCACAGGGCGATTGTCGTAGCGTATTATGGTTGAGTGCCCAATAGATGACCGGACTAATAGCCGAATAAAAGTAGCCTGTTGGGAATATATGCAAGATATAAAAAAAAAACAAAACAATTCATTATGTTTGCAGAAAAATACTTATTTTCATTTCATTTGTATAATAGTGTTAGTGTACAGTTATTGCTAATTGTGGCGTTTTCAGTGTTACCCCTTCATTTTATTTATTTTATATTTCGATTTCAACAGTCTGGCCACTTTTTTGACCTGCTTTTAATGTGTACTTATTTTTTTTATTGTTCAATAGATGTAATTTATGTCGCAAATAATTTGGATTTTTTTCGTAAACAATTTATCACTAAAAGTATAAAATTCCTAATTGTTTTCATAGGCATCGGTGAGAATAAGATCCACATCGTATGGGTGAATCATTTCCATCCTAATAAGAATGCTGAAAACTATGCATAGACCATAGACATGGAGAAAATCCCTACCGAGCGTCGGGCATTAAAATTCAACAACGACGTCCACTGTAGTGTGGTTAAGAGACCAGAAATCAATAGTATTAATGCATTCTTCGAATAGGATCCAATCACACTATTCATTTCAATGCTATGGGCTTAATAAATCTTGGTGGAAAGCAAAATGCCGGTGCTCAGAAGCACGTTGAAAAATTGACTCCCAATGGCTGCTGCATATGCCATTTTCTCATACCTCTGCAGAGCCATAGACATTATCGTTACAAGATTATCCAAGGAGTTGGCGATGGATTTGACAGTGACACCCATAAAATCTGCAGGATCTTTAAACATATGGCCAAGAACATCCGTGATCAATGATATTTCGATGGAGCACTTAAACGTCAGAAATATGAATCCAGTAAGATTCATAATTGTAAACAACCAGTGATACGGCGGCGGGACACTGGTGTTTGAGTGGAAAAACACAGCTATGGCTATGGGCACTGTTACCACCAGGGAGTAAAGGCCGTATTTAACGTCATGTGGTATATTATAATACCACAGCTTCGACTTATCTGTAAATATCATGGCCTGGCCCATTGTGATTGTAACCGCTGGGTTAAGGAAAATTTGTATGCAGTTGAGCAGCTTACTCCAGCCATTCTTCTTCAGCTCGTAATCCACCAAGGGTATATAAATGACACTTAAAAATACAACTGGGGCCCGAGCAATATAGTAGGCGCGAACTAACATGGTCGCCTGGCGCCATTCATTCAATTTAATGGGCTGAATTGCAGAGAAGAATTCCCTAAAGAGATGGTGATTCTTGCTTCGGTCCCTGGTGTAATGTATATTGCGATTGGCTTCCATGTCAATTGTGACACGTTCGCTTCCGACTTTTGTCAAAAAGCTGAAAGTTCGATTATCATTTTGATACGATTTGCGCTGCAATATAGTTACTCGAACATCCCGGGAAAGTAATTTGTATTGGTTTTCTAGTGCATCGCGCTTTTCTTTAACATCTTCTGACTGTGGTAATTCGTACAGTTCGTTGATTTCTCGTCTCAAAGCTACGAAAAGCGAATAGATTTTAGCCAAGCAACGTAACAATTCAGAAAACGCGATACTCACATTGTAGGGTACGTTTCAAGAAATACACATCGAGCACGTTGACAATTATGTATATGATGTACACCGCCATCAGTAATATGCACTCAGCGATCGTAACCGACTCTTCAGTGATTATAAGATACTCAAGCAGCATCACTCCAAAGATAAGGAAGAGTAGATCGCGCACGGTATTATAAGCATTCATTTGAAATGGACTGATATAGCATATTATTCCCCCACTGAACATGGTTACAAATAATGCCGAAGAAAGGCAATTGGCAAACACGGCCGTGTCGTCATAAATAGCCCAGATATTGGCAAACATATCTGGAAGTGTGTTGCCAAGTGCCATGATCGTCACGCCAGCCAGATGCTCGTTCATATGAAGCATTCGGGAAACTACCTTCATCGCCGGAGTGTAATAACAATGCACCACATGGGTTAGGAAGAGCATCAATTCGAAACATAGAATCAGGAAGAGGGTCACAAAGATGTGCTCCTCGAACACGTTTTTACATTTGAAATCGCATGCCAATAAATGCATGTACGGCACGAAGTTCGTGCCATGTATGCAGTTATTTGCATTTCTCACAAACTCGCATCTTTGGTCATACGGAAAGTCCATCACAGCAAAACAATTGACTTTTGTCCAAAACTCGCTGAATTCTCTATCCAATGCGTTTGGTTCATACATGTTGGCCATTATCTTAAGGTTATAGGTAAGTGAATTTGTACTGTGTTTTTTTTTTCAACATGTTCTGTTCCGTTTAAAATTGAATTTTAAGATCATATCTAGAGCAGAATTTAAATAAAAGAGCACCTGATTTTTTTTTTTGAAAACTACAAACTATCTAGTTTAGTTTATAAAGCTTAAAATTGTGGCCGAAAAAGGTTGAAGTACATGTGTACATTGCTTTCAGGATACCTTAGGGAACTAACTGACCATGCCGAGCTATGAGTAGGGGCATAGCTTGCCGGACAGGCTATAAATTTCTTCCACAGGGTCGATGGTTTCCCATTATTATCGTTTTATCCTATCTGCTAATAACTTTATATATCAAGTATGAATTTCTTTTTTATAACCTTCATTCATTCTTTCTATACCCTGAACCCATTAAAAATGGGTACAAGGGTATATTCTATTTGTGCAAAATCCAAATGTATGTAACAGGCAGAAGGAAGCATCTCCGACCCCATATAGTATATATATTCTTGATCAGCATCAATAGCCGAGTCGATCTAGCCATGTCCGTCTGTCTGTCCGTCCGTCCGCGCATCCGTCCGATAATCGATAACTTACTCCGTTTCCAAGCAATCGATAAAAATCGATATCGACATCCTGTTTTTTTTTTTTAGCAAATTGGGTAAATAATAAGAGCTAGAGCCACCAAACATGATATGTTGCTTCTAGAATATTAAAAAATATTTCAAGTACATATCTTTCATTTCATACCTATCGCCACCTCCCCGCTACCACCCCAGAGCTATAAATCAAGTTAATAACCCAACTTTTATTGCCAACCAATTTCAGAATACACAAATATTCTATGGTACAATAAGATATACTGTAGAAAATTTCATAAAGATCGGTTAAGAAAAACCAAAGTTATATGCAGCTGCGCAATTGAATGGGGCAGCAGCTTTAAGAATTTCTGTATACATGTACACACACACATTCATCCGCGTATGCTTCGCATTCTGTGGCATGGTAATTGCATCTTTTTTTTGTAATGTTATTTAAGTTCCTTTTTTTATCATAAGTACTTGATTGTTGGTGTGGCTGCTGAGTAGAGGCATAGCAAGTGGTGCGGTCTGTCGCGAGTTCGAGCCCTACCGGGGAAAGTATTATTATTTTTTTTTTTTGCCGGTGTGGCTGTTGAATAGAGTCGACAATAAGTATTGCGGTCAGTTGCAAATTCGAGCCCTGCCAAGGGAACTTTTTTTTATTAATTTACTTGGTGTTGGAATAAGAGGGTTCAGGGTATCCCCTAGTCGGGGGCTCCTGACTAGACCTCTTACTTGTTTTTTTTTATACCCTGACCCATTAAAAATGGGTATAAGGGTATATTGTATTTGTGCGAAAGCCAAATGTATGTAACAGGCAGAAGGAAGCTTCTCCGACCCCATAAAGTATATATATTCTTGATCAGCATCAATAGCCGAGTCAATCTAGCCATGTCCGTCTGTCTGTCCGTCCGTCCGTATATATGAACGCAAGGATCTCAGAACCTATAAGATCTAGAGACTTGAAATTTTAGATGTAGGTGCTCCTAGTTCCCGCGCAGATCGTGTTTGTTTCCGATAATCGATAACTTACTCCAAGCAATCGATAAAAATCGATATCGATATCCTGTTTTTTGGGCAATTTTGGTAAATAATAAGAGCTAGAGTCACCAAACTGGACATATAGCTTCTAAAATAGAATATATATATGCATTTGATGTTGGAAGAAGAGGGTTCAGGGTATCCCCTAGTCGGGAGCTCCCGACTAGAACCTCTTACTTGTTTTTATTTATTGCATTTGTATACCCTGAACCCATTGAAAATGGGTAAGAAAGGTAAATCTAGAAGATACATGTCAAGTTTGGTAACTCGAGCTCTTATTATTTACCAAAGTTTCTCAAAAAACTGGATTTCAATATAGATTTTTATCGATTACTTATAAATGGGGCAAGTTATCGAATATCCGAAACAAACTCGATCTGCGCGGGCACTAGGAGGACCTACAGCTATGTCTCTAGTTCTTATACGTTCTGAGATCCTTACGTTCATACATACGACGGACAGACAGACGGACATGGCTAGAACGATTCGGATGTTGATGCTGATCAAGAATATTGTGCAAATGTATGTAACATACAGAAGGAAGCATCTCCGACCTCATACCTCATAGCCATAAATCAAGTTAATAACCCAAATTGTATTGCCCACCAATTTAAGTTATAATTTTGATGCAAATTGCTTTTTCAGAATAGACAAATATTCGATGGTACAAATATATATACTATAGATTAAGATCGTTTAAGAAACACGTTTTTGCGGCACCAGCGTAAATTCGAAGATTATTCATGCGCGTCTGCTTCGTATTCATCAACAGCATTATAATTGCGATTGTATTGTTTTCTGTGCTACTATTTTAATTCGTTTTTTTTTTTCACTAATACTCAAGACGTAGCGCGAGCTGAATTTGGTGTTTCAATAAGAGGGTTCAGGGTATCCCCTAGTAGGGAGCTCCCGGCTAGAAAAATTAGCTCCCGGTCGAAAATTAAATTTTTGTATGAAAAACATTTTTGTCTATAAAGATATCTAGACCAAACTCGGCATTTATTAGTTTTACTATACTACTCATATATATGCAAAATCCTATTAAGATCGGGCCACTATATCATATAGCTGCCATAGAAACGATCGGTCGAAATTTAAGTTGTTGTATGGAAAACTTTTTTGTCATTAAATATATTTTGATTAAGCACGGCATTTAGAGATTTAACTATGCTCCCTTCATTTTTAAAAAATCTTATTTAAATCGGACTACTATATCATATAGCTGTCATAGGAACGATCTTTCGAAAACTAGGTTTTTTGATTAAAAACCTTTTTTGTTTATTAAGATATCTTCACCAAACTCGGCTTAACTATATTCCCTGTGCTTCTTAGATACGGGCAAAGCACTATGAGCATTATGAAAAGGTTGGGTCTGCAAGGGCATTAGATCTTCGGCGTGCCGAAGATAGCCTTTCCTTCCTGTTAATCTTGGTCAAACAAATGTCATACACCTTAAATAATAACAGCTATATATTTTCAAGTCTGGCCAGTTTTTCGATTACATATTTGTTTATTGCGACTTAAAATTTGTCAACTTATAATTTTTAACTATGCATGGGACGAGACGAGAAGAGCATCCACATTGTATGGGTGGATTATTTCCGCTCTGATAAGAATGCTAAATATGATGTACAGACCATAGATGGACATGGAGAAAATCCCCACCGAACGACGAGCATTAAAATTCAACACCGATGTCCATAGCAGCGTCGATAGGAGACCCAATATCAATAGGACAAATGCATTTTCCCCATATGATCCAATCAAATCAGTCATTGAAGTACTAACGCCTAACAAAATCTTGACAGCAACCACAATGCCTGTACCCAGAAGAACGGTAAAGAATGGACTTCCAATAGCTGCTGCATATGCCATTTTTTCATACCCCTGCATGGCCATTGATGCATTTGCTACAAGATTGCTCAGGGATGTGGCGACGCATGATACAGTGGCTTCCATAAAATCAGGAGGAACTTTTAACATAAAGCCAAGGACCCCTGTTATCAACGTTATTTCGGTGGCACTCTGGAATATCACAAACATGGATCCAGTAAGATTCATAATTGTAAACAACCAGTGATACGGCGGCGGGACACTGGTGTTTGAGTGGAAAAACACAGCTATGGCTATGGGCACTGTTACCACCAGGGAGTAAAGGCCGTATTTAACGTCATGTGGTATATTATAATACCACAGCTTCGACTTATCTGTGAATAGCATGGCCTTGCCCATTGTGATTGTAAACGCTGGGTTAAGAAAAATTTGTATGCAGTTGAGCAGCTTACTCCAGCCATTCTTCTTCAGTTCGTAGTCCACCAGGGGTATATAAATGACACTTAAAAATACAACTGGGGCCCGAGCAATATAGTAGGCGCGAACTAACATGGTCGCCTGGCGCCATTCATTCAATTTAATGGGCTGAATTGCAGAGAAGAATTCCCTAAAGAGATGGTGATTCTTGCTTCGGTCCCTGGTGTAATGTATATTGCGATTGGCTTCCATGTCAATTGTGACACGTTCGCTTCCGACTTTGGTCAAAAAGCTGAAAGTTCGATTATCATTTTGATACGATTTGCGCTGCAATATAGTTACTCGAACATCCCGGGAAAGTAATTTGTATTGGTTTTCTAGTGCATCGCGCTTTTCTTTAACATCTTCTGACTGTGGTAATTCGTACAGTTCGTTGATTTCTCGTCTCAAAGCTACGAAAAGCGAATAGATTTTAGCCAAGCAACGTAACAATTCAGAAAACGCGATACTCACATTGTAGGGTACGTTTCAAGAAATACACATCGAGCACGTTGACAATTATGTATATGATGTACACCGCCATCAGTAATATGCACTCAGCGATCGTAACCGACTCTCCAGTGATTATAATATACTCAAGCAGCATCACTCCAAAGATAAAGAATAGTAGATCGCGCACGGTATTATAAGCATTCATTTGAAATGGACTGATATAGCATATTATTCCCCCACTGAACATGGTTACAAATAATGCCGAAGAAAGGCAATTGGCAAACACGGCCGTGTCGTCATAAATAGCCCAGATATTGGCAAACATATCTGGAAGTGTGTTGCCAAGTGCCATGATCGTCACGCCAGCCAGATGCTCGTTCATATGAAGCATTCGGGAAACTACCTTCATCGCCGGAGTGTAATAACAATGCACCACATGGGTTAGGAAGAGCATCAATTCGAAACATAGAATCAGGAAGAGGGTCACAAAGATGTGCTCCTCGAACACGTTTTTACATTTGAAATCGCATGCCAATAAATGCATGTACGGCACGAAGTTCGTGCCATGTATGCAGTTATTTGCATTTCTCACAAACTCGCATCTTTGGTCATACGGAAAGTCCATCACAGCAAAACAATTGACTTTTGTCCAAAACTCGCCGAATTCTCTATCCAAAGCGTTTGGTTCATACATGTTGGCCATTATCTTAAGTGTATAGGT